AATGTGAACACTAGTAGAGTTTGGGGGAAATAGACCTTGACATTTTGGAGTTGTAGTTGCTGGGATGTATAGTTCACCTACAATTAAAGAATATTCTGAACCTCACCAACAATAGAATTGGGCCAAGCTTCCCACACAGAACCCCCATGACCAACAGAAAATGCTGTGCTTTCTGATGGTCTTTGGTGACCCCTCTGAAACTCCCTCGCGACCCCCCTTGGGGTACCGACCCCCAGGTTGAGAACCACTGTTCTAGAGGCATTCTCTCCTGACGTTTAGCCTGCATCTATGGCAAGCATCCTCAGAGGAATAATAATAATAATAATAATAATAATAATATAATTATAATAATAATAAACTTTATTTGTACCCCGCTACCATCTCTCCAAGGGACTCGGTGCGGCTTACATGAGGCCGAGCCCACAATACAACAATAAAAACGATAGCAACAATAATACAAAACAATAAATAAACTCATAAGCAGAAAATAAGCAATAAACATTAACAATAACACGACGATGTTTAAAAACCTATGGCTGGGCCAAATGTAATAATTAAATTAAAAAAAAATAATGCTGGGCATGACCAGGTGACATATAACTGGGATAGAAATTTTGAAGAGGGATGAAATGTGCAGACAATCCTAGATCACTAATAAAGTGCGTTTAGGGACATATTGCTGAGAGTTTCCTTATTCTGGGAAGGCACACTGAAACAACCATGTTTTCAGGCTCCTCCTAAACACTGCCAGAGTTGGGGCATGCCTGATGTCCTTGAGGAGTGAGTTCCAGAGTCGGGGGGCCACCACCGAGAAGGCCCTCTCCCTCATCCCCATCAATCATGCTTGCGATGGAGGTGGGATCGCGAGCAGGGCCTCTCCAGATGATCGAAGAGATCGTGTGGGTTCGTACACAGAGATGCGGTCACGCAGGTAGGCGGGTCCCAAACCGTTTAGGGCTTTGTAGGTAAGCATCTGCACCTTGAATTGGGACCGGAAAATGAACGGCAGCCAGTGGTGCTCCTTAAACAAAAAGGTTGATCGCTCCCTGTAAGGAGCACCAGTTAACAACCTGGCCGCCGCTTGTTGAACCAATTGAAATTTCCGGGCCGTTTTCAAGGGCAGCCCCACGTAGAGCGCATTACAGTAGTCCAATCTGGAGGTGACTAAGGCATGGACCACCCTGGCCAGATCCGCCTTCACGAGGTATGGTTGCAGTTGGCGCACGAGTCTTAATTGTGCAAAGGCCCTCCCGGCCATCGCCAATGCCTGAGCTTCAAGCGTGATGAGTCCAGGAGGACACCCAGACTGCGGACCTGTGACTTCAATGGGAGTGCAACCCCGTCCAACACAGGTTGCCACCCTATACCCCAGTCCAGTTTACGTTCGATCAGGAGGACCTCTGTCTTGTCAGGATTAATCTTCAGCCTGTTCCTCCTCATCCAGATAGACACAGTGGTCAGGCACTCGTCCAGCACCCGAGGGGCTTCCTTGGAGTTAGGTGGAAAAGAGTAGTAGAGTTGCGTGTCATCTGCATAGAGATGGCACCCAACTCCAAAACTCCGGATGACCTCTCCCAGCAGTTTCATGTAGATGTTAAAAAGCATGGGATACAGAATGGAGCCTTGCGGGACCCCACACGTCAAAGGCCAGGGGTCTGAGCAGGTGTCTCCCAGCTTCACCATCTGGGAACGACCCTCCAGGAAGGACCGGAGCCATGCCAGAGCCGTGCCTCCAAGTCTGCTCGAGCTAGGTGTGAATGTTTCAACTGACCACCTTGATTAGCATTTGATGGCCTGGCAGTGCCTGAGGGAATCTTTTGTTGAGAGGTGATTAGATGTCCCTGATTGTTTCCTCTCTGTTGTTTTGCTGTTGTAATTTTAGAGTTTTTTTTAATACTGGTAGCCAGATTTTGTTCATTTTCATGGTTTCCTCCTTTCTGTTGAAATTGTCCATGTGGACATCTAATCACCTCTCAACAAAAGATTGCCCCAGGCACCAACAAGCCACACCAAACAACTGCCAGGCCATCAAATGCTAATCAAGGGGGTCAGTTGAAACATTCACACTTAGCTCCAACAAACAAGAGTTCTTTGGCCGTTTAATTTCCGGTCCCAATTCAAGGTGCAAGTTTGAGATCTGCTGTTGAGAATCAGCCTGTGTTTGTGTTTCAGGATCCTGATGTGGGAAATGATCAGGTGCCGAGGCTGAGATACAAGATGGAGATGGTTTGGTCAATGATTTTCATGCAGACAATGACAAAGAGGCCTCAGGGCAAAGGGCAGTTTCTCATGAGAATATTCCTGCTGGGCCTTGCAATGATGGTTCACTCCCTCTCTCTGTGAGCTCACAAGATTTTGGTTTGGAAGACATTCTGACACCTGGGAATTTTAATGAGCAGCCAGATAGGAAGCTGAAGAATAGGTGGCTGGAGATTAGCCAGGATTGACAGCAAACTCAGTGTTTATGTCGCTCTGAAAGGCTTCGTCTGATAAGGGGTAAATGTGGGGGAAAGCGAAACCAATTTCTGAGTTTTGGGATATAAGGTTTGCCTCAAGGAGAAACCTGTTAGATCAGGCATCATTTGGAAACCAAGTTCATGTGCCATGGAAATCCTGTTCAAAGGGACTTGTTCCTGTGGAGTTTTTTAGTCTTTTGGATTGTCTTTGCATCCTGTTGATTCCTGTCTGGATTAATGCCGTCTTGGATTGCTTTTATATCTGGTGTGGACATTGCTTTGTGTAACTTTCTTATCTTTCTGGAAGCATTTATTTCTTTTGGCTATTTACTAAGCTACAATAAAAGAAGATTTGTTTCTTCACTCTTCATGTGGTGTGTTTTGAAGTCAGAGGGTTTTTCCTGACCTGGAGTGCAACATCTGACTACCTCCGTGACCGCATTTCCTTTTATGAACCTACACGATCCCTTCGATCTTCTGGAGAGGCCCTTCTCTCGCTCCCGCTCCCACTCCCTTCACAAGTGCAGCTCCCTCCTGGCCAATGGAGCTCCTTAAACAGGGGGGTTGACCACTCCCTGTAATTCACACCAGTTAATAGTCTGGCTGCCGCTCACTGGACCAGTTGAAATTTCCGGGCCATTTTCAAGCGCAGCCCCATTGCAGTAGTCCAGTCTAGAGGTAACTAAGGCATGGACCACCACCAACAGACCCGTAGCCAGGATTTCGTTTCGGGGGGGGGCTATTTTTCAGGGGGGGTTTCGGGGGGGGGCTGAGTCTGAGTGAAAGAGGGTCTAGCCTAGCAAACCTTTTGTATCATTACCCCAATACCCCCATGCATATGGGATATATTGAGTATGGTGATCAGATCATGATATGAATAAACATAACAGTTTAAATAATGCACCAGTAAGGCCTTTTTGCGAACCACCATGAGAATTTCGGGGGGGGGGGCTGAAGCCCCCCAAGCCCCCCCCCCCCCCCCCCCCCCGGCTACATGCCTGACCACCAACCATGCCTTACATCATTTTGAGCCTCTTCCACAAAGGGAGAACCAGTCGATATGTGACAAGAAACAACCACAACAGCCATCACAACGACCAACCTTTGGCTGAACCATACGTGCCAATTATGACGTCCTTTATTATCATTGGTTGCCCTTGTTTTCATTGTTGGTAGCTATTACTGACGAAATTCGTCGTCAGCTAGACTGAGGCGGATCAGTGCTATTGGTACTCTTGGACCTCACAGCTGCATTCGACACTGTGGACCATGACTTGCTGATTCATTGATTGGCTCTGTCCGGTGTACGAGGTTTAGCCCTTAAATGGTTCAGTTCGTTCCTCCGGGACCGGAGACAGAGGGTGGAGTGGTCAGGCCAAAGCTCTGAGAGCCCCTGCCTTTGTTGTGGAGTTCCCCAGGGTGCTCTCCTCTCGCCCCTGTTATTTAACATCTACGCCCGGCCACTTGCTGGACTGGTGCGGAGCTTTGGCCTAGAGTGCTACCAGTATGCAGATGATACCCAGCTACTCTTGCATCTCGAACCTGGGACAACCGCGATTCCTGAGAACTTTAGGCTGTGTTTGGAAACAGTGATGAGTTGGCTGCGAGCGAGCAGACTAAAAGTGAATCCTGCAAAAACTGAGATACTCTGACCCAGCCAGCCGCCAGAATTAATCCAGTCTCTGCCTGATTTCGATGGGGAAGCTCTGGCTCCGTCTGCCACTGTTAAAAGCCTTGGGGTTGTGTTGGACTCATCGCTGACGATGGAGGCCCAGATCACTGCCATAAGGAAGAAGGCCTTTTTTCATCTTCGCCAGGCAAGGAATTTGGCATCCTACCTTTCGGTAGAAGCATTGGCAACGGTAATCCACGCAACAGTCACCACGAGGTTGGACTATTGCAACGCCTTATATGCCGGCCTTCCGAAGTCAACAACCCAGAAGATTCGGATGGTCCAAAATGCGGTGGCCAGGCTGCTGCGGGATCATCTCTAAGATCCCATATTACACCGATTCTGCAACAACTGCATTGGCTACCAATAGAAGATCGGATCTCTTACAAGATACTGATCCTGACATTTAGAGCTCAAAATGGCCAAGGACCTTTATATCTTAGGAACCGCCTCATTCCTTTTCTCCATCTGTGGTCACCTCCATCCACCCAGGAAAATCTCCTAGGGAGGTACACCTGGGAGCTACAAGGCGTAGAACTTTTTCGACCTATGCTCCAGTTCTGTGGAACTCATTGCCTCCATACGTTAGAGCAATGTCAGAGTTGCAACCTTTTGTAAAAGCGCTCAAGACTTGGCTGTTTGGTTGTGCATTTAAGTAATCAGATCTAATTTGCCAAATAGTCACTGTTGAATGTTTCTATGTTGAATGTTTTTATATTGTGTAAATGCTATTTTAGATTGTAAGTCTCTCGAAGCACCTTGGTGGAGAGCGACTAATTAAGAAATAAAGTGAAGTGAAGTGTTTCTGGTCTAACCATGAGTTTTGCTGCTGAGTTCGATGTCCTTTTTATGTTTTCTCCTTCTTTTTAAAGAAAGCTGCCTGTGTAATGCTCGCCGTTCGCGGCTGAGGAGCGGGAAATAGCTAGACAGGTGCTACCTCGGTGGCTTCTTCCAACATGACCAGTCCCCAGTAAGTACCAACGTGAGAAAGCGCTCTGTTTATTTACAACAGCGTGGGAAATTTGGGTCTCTCCATATTGTTACCGGGTCGATGGGCTTTGCCTACGGTTTGTCTTTTCTATGTCGATGTCAAATTGAGCCCAGCCTTCCTAAGATCAAGATCCCCAGAGCATCATTTTCATCAGGACACTCCAATGGCCCCAAATGGCTAAGCAATCTAGAGAAGTAAAAATGCAATGTTCGTTTGTGGGATTAACAGAACTCACAAACCACTGGGGGAATGGACACCAAATTTGGACATAGTCCACCTAACAATCCAATGTATGCCCTTCACTCATAAAAACACTGAAAAACACAGCAGAAGGGACTTAAAAGCCCCAAAAAGCTAAATGACAAAAAGCTAAATGACAATACAGAAATACAGAGAGAGGGAAGGGGAGAAAAGAAAGAAAGCAATGAAAGAAATAAAGAAAAGAAAGAGGGAGGGAGGGAGGGAAAGAAAGAAGGAAAGGGAGAAGGAAGCATGGAAGTAAAGACAGAAGGAAGGAAGGATGGAAGGAAAGAGGTAGAGAAGGAAGAAAGGAGAGAAAGAGGGAGGGAAAGAAAAAGGGGGAAGGAAAGAAAATTAGAGAAGGAAGGAGAGAAGGAAAGAAAAAGGGAAAGAAGGTAGAAAAGAGGGAGTGAAGGAAGGGGGAAGATGTAGAGAAAGAGGGAGGGAAGGGGAGAAAAGAAGAAGGAAAGAAAGAAAAGAAAGAGGGAGGGAGGGAAAGAAAGAAGGAAAGGGAGAAGGAAGCATGGAAGTAAAGAGAGAAGGAAGGAAGGAAGGAAAGAGGTAGAGAAGGAAGGAAGAAGAGAAAGAGGGAGGGAACGAAAAAGGGGGAAGGAAAGAAAGTTAGAGAAGGAAGGAGAGAAGGAAAGAAAAAAAGGAAAGAAGGTAGAAAAGAGGCAGTGAAGGAAGAGGAAAGATGTAGAGAAAGAGGGAGAGAAGGAAAGAGAGAAGAAAAGAGAGACAGCAAAAGAGAAAGGAAAAGGAGGAAGGAAGGAAAGAGAGAAGGAAGAAAGAAGAGAAGGAAAGACGGGAAGGAAGGAAGGAAGGAAGGAAGGAAGGAAGGAAGGAAGGAAGGAAGGAAGGAAGGAAGGAAGGAAGGAAGGAAGGAAAGAGGGAGAGAAAGAGGGAAGGTTGGCTACAGCAAAGCGTGGCGGGTACAGCTAGTCTAGATAAATAAAAATGTAATATTCATTTGTGGGATTAGCATAACTCACAAACCACTGGATGAATTGGCACCAAATTTGGACACAAGACACCTCTCAGGTCAACGAGTGACCATCACTCATAAAAATACTGAAAAACACAGCGGATAAGACTTGAAAAGCCAAAAAATGAAAAATACATTACAATGCATGCGCATAACCACAGATATACACATATACACACATAAAACACGCATACACAGACTGGGCCACAGCAACGTGTGGCAGGGGACGGCTAGTGTGTGTGTGTATATATATCTATATATATAAAAATGCTCTGTGCATAATGAGTACCTTAAAAACAAAAGAACCAATGAACGAAATCAAATGTGACAACAAACCGTCTCACAACACAAGGAGTGACCATCACTCAAAAAATTATGATTTTGTCATTTGGGAGTTGTAGTTGCTGGGATTTATAGTTTACCTACAATCAAAGAGCATTCTGAACTCCACCAATGATGGAATTGGGTCAAATTTAGCACACAGGGCTCTCATGACCAACAGAAAAAACTGGAAAGGTTTGGTGGGCATTGACCTTGAGTGTGGGAGTTGTAGTACACCTACATCCAGAGAGCACTGTGGACTCAAACCATGATGGATCTGGACCAAACTTGGCACAAATGTTCCATATGCCCAGCTATGAACACAAACGGAGTTTGGGGGATGCAGTGTTACAATGCAGTGATTCCGGCCATGAAAACCTTAGATCATAATAATGCTGTGTTATTATTTATATGCTGCTTTTTCTCTCTTAAAGGGACTCAGAAGCGGCGAGAAGATAGGAGTAAAGAGACAAATGGATTTAAATGTTGAGTCTGAGATGCTTTTTTCCCTCCTAGCTTTGTAGAGTTGTCTCAATACAACTCCCATAAAGCTTGGTTTGCTTACAGTCCATTCATGTTCATAGAATCATAGAATCAAAGAGTTAGAAGAGACCTTATGGGCCATCCAGTCCAACCCCATTCTGCCAAGAAGCAGGAATATTGCATTCAAATCACCCCTGACTGATGGCCATCCAGCCTCTGTTTAAAAGCTTCCAAAGAAGGAGCCTCCACCACACTCCAGGGCAGAGAGTTCCACTGCTGAACGGCTCTCACAGTCAGGAAGTTCTTCCTCATGTTCAGATGGAATCTCCTTTCTTGTAGTTTGAAGCCATTGTCCCATTGCAGCCTAGTCTCCAGGGAAGCAGAAAACAAGCTTGCTCCCTCTCCCTGTGGCTTCCTCTCACATATTTATACGTGGCTATCATATCTCCTCTCAGCCTTCTCTTCTTCAGGCTAAACATGCCCAGCTCCTTAAGCCACTCCTCATAGGGCTTGTTCTCCAGACCCTTGATCATTTGAGTCGCCCTCCTCTGGACACATTCCAGCTTGTCAATATTTCTCTTGAATTGTGGTGACCAGAATTGGACACAATATTCCAAGTGTGGTCTAACCAAAGCGAAATAGAGCATGGGGAGCATGACTTCCCTAGATCTAGACACTAGGCTCCTATTGATGCAGGCCAAAATCCCATTGGCTTTTTTTGCCGCCACATCACATTATTAGCTCATGTTTAACTTGTTGTCCACGAGGACGCCAATATCTTTTTGACACATACTGCTCTCGAGTGAGGCCTCGTCCCCCATTCTGTATCTTTGCATTTCGTTTTTCCTGCCTAAGTGGAGTATCTTGCATTTGTCCCTGTTGAACTTCATTTTGTTAGTTTTGATCAATCATCTCTCTAATCTGTCAAGATTGTTTTGAATCCTGCTCCTGTCCTCTGGAGTATTGGCTCTCCCTTCCAACTTGGTGTCATCTGCAAACTTGATGATCCTGCCTTCTAGCCCTTCATCTAAGTCATTGATAAAGATCCTGAACAGGATCGGGCCCAGGACAGAACCCTGCTGATGGCACTCCACTCGTCACTTCTTTCCAGGATGAAGAGGAAGCCATTTAACCAATTACAGATCCACCTCACCGTAGTTTTGCCTAGCCCACATTGGACTAGTTTCCTTGCCAGAAGGTCATGAGGGACCTTGTCGAAGGCCTTACTGAAATCCAGGTACGCTCCATCCACGGCATTCCCCGCATCTATCCAGCTTGTAACTCTATCGAAAAAAGAGATCAGATTAGTTCAGCAAACCTCTGACCATGAAAAGTCCTGTTTTGATGCTTTTCTTGGAATGATCTCCCTCGAAACTCCTGCTGGGAATTGCAATGCTTCTCCACGATACAAAAACCTCCTTGCATGCAGAAATCTAGCAGAGCATGGAGTTTAAAACATGAGGCTCAATCAATGCCTTTGCTAGACCCGTTGAACCGTAGTGTTGATTCCTCGGGTCTCAGTCATTTCAGCGGGTCGATTTGATCTGGAACCAGTAATTGGATTGAGCCTTAATGCCTTATTAACCTTCTCTAAGCCAGATAAACAACCCAGGTTGCTCGCTGGATGAGAAAATAGCACATTTTTACCAGGGATAGTAGAAGGCAAAACAGAAGAGAGAGAGCTCCCAATCCTTGTTTGATACCATGCTTTACAACAACAACAACAACAACAACAACAATGCTTTATTTACATTCTGCTCTATCTCCCGGAGGGGACTTCTCTAGACTAAGAAGACCCCTAAATTGGGTCTTCTTAGGTTCACGTCACGGGAACACGTAAGGAAGGAGACAGTCCCAAAAAAGATAAACAAACAAGGTTTATTTTAGTTTCTTCATGAAGAAGACGGACAGCCTGGCAGCATACGCAGATGCTACCCTTCAAGTGACTGCTGCCCCCTCTCCTCTTTTTCTGCTGACTTTTATACTCAAGTAATTGGTCATGGAAAGTACTCTCTTTCCAACCCCTCTCCCTTGACCTTTTGATGGCAAGTACCTTCTTGCACCTGCAGACTCTGCACTTAACCACAACCTTTGAACTTAACCACAACACAACTGCCGCCCTCTACATGTCACATCTTGTTTCTTCCATGTTGCTCCTTGTCTACAGAGAAAGGGTATATTTTTCTTTTCCTGTTAATTTCATTCAAAGCCCCTTGCTTAGCATTTGCAAATTTCACTCAAAGACCCTTTCAATGCCAGCGAGTCCCTTCAAGGCAGGGGGTTCTGTGTGGGAAGATTAGCCCAATTTTATCGTTGGTGAGGTTCAGAATGTTCATTGATTGTAGGTAAACTAGAAATCCCAGCAACTGCAACTCCCAAATGTCAATGACTATTTTCCCCAAACCCCACCAGTGTTCACATTTGGGCATATTGAGTATTTGTGCCAACTTTGGTCCAGATCCATCATTATTTGACTCCACAGTGCTCTCTGGATGTGGGTGAACGACAACTCCAAAACTCAAGGTCAATGACCGTCACTCTTTTCCTTTGGTCATGGGAGCTCTATAAATCCCAGCAACTACAACTCCTAAATGCCAAGGTCGATTTTCCCAAACCTCCACTAGTGTTCACATTTGGGCAAATTGAGAATTCGTGCCAACTTTGATCCAGATCCATCATTGTTTGAGTCCACAGTACTCTCTGGATGTAGGTGAACTACAACTCCAAAACTCAAGGTCAATGCCCATCAAACCATTCCAGTATTTTCTATTGGTCATGGGAGTTCTGTCTGCCAAGTTTGATTCAATTCCATCGTTGGTGGAGTTCAGAATGCCCTCTGCTTGCAGGAGAACTATAAATCCCAGCAACTACAACTCCCAAATTTCAATGGCTATTTTCCCAAACTCCACCAGTGTTTACTTTTGGGCATATTGGGTATTTGTGCCAAATT